ATGCAAGGCTAAAACTATGTGGGGCTGCTCTCTATGTCCTTGTTTTGAAAGATGAACTTGTGGAGTGGAAACCTCTCTCTCTCTCTCTCTCTCTCTCACACACACACACACACACACACACAAACAAACACAGAGAGAGAGAGAGATTTGCAAACAGATCATATGTGGAAATCCCTTTTTTCTTGCTTTTGTTGTCTTTATTGACAAGATCTTTTTAATACTTTCCAAAGTTTCTTCACTGATTTTATGGAGAAATGAAGCAATTGGGGGTCCAATTATTGTAAATTATTTTCTGAGCATATAGGTCCAAGTTTATCATTGATGAATCTCAATTATATGCATCTACAAAGCTGTCTGATATATACATATAGATAGATAGTTAAATCATCGATCCCCATCTTGCATTTAAGATGTCAGCTCTCTATTATTTGGTTTCACCTTCTAAGAATGAATGTCCCCTATATATGTAAATCAAAATGGTGTGTTTGTCTTTGTATGGTGTATGTGGGTCCCTTCTAAGTTTCCTTATTAAAAATTAATGTACCACATTATTAGCATATACCAATTATTGTATCCTTTATGTTCTCTTGTGAGGAGTTTTTTTTTTTTAATACAATTCCTCCAATTAAATTTAAAATAATAAAAAATTAATATTTTGGCAAAATTTCTATATATATTTTTTGAAGTTCAAAGGTCGTGATTGTCCAGAATAACTTACGCGCATCTTGACTAATCCTCTTCATTATCCGATCAAAGACATGTCATTCACGTCGAAATTAGGATATTCATGAGAGGTAAATATCTCATAACTCCAAAGAGTTATCAAAATTTGAATTTAAAACTTCTGAACGTGCGATCCATTCTTATTATCATTTAAATGACCATCAAATAATTTTAGCCGATACTTTTTGATAGCATTTAAAATGTCATCAATTAGTGTACAAACAAACATGACGCTATGCTAATAATTTTAGGTAGTACTTTTGCATAAATCAAGGGTGCCGTAGTTGAAAACAGCACCCTTATCATTACCTAAGCCAAAAGTAGAATTGCAAACAAACAAAGAGCAGTACCTACGTAGTACTTACTGTATTGAAATATTTTATCAATAGCAGATTTTACTTTAATTTACAAAATCAAATAAAATAATAAAATATAATAAAAAATTACACGTCTTATTTGAATTGGTAGAAAATTAGAGAAACAATGCCAAAAAAAAAAAGTTCTCGATACCGTAACATCCCTCACAAATAAAATGAATGAAAATTTCGTCAAATAAGAAAGGAGTAACATCTCTTGTAATACTTTATCTTTAATTTTTTTTCTTGTCACATCATCTATTATGCATTTAAATGTGACCTATTAGTAACGACTTATTAGTTTAGTGGGTAAAAACTCAGATTTTGTCGTTCAATGTTTAGGTTTGAGTTTCTATAGTTATAATAGCTTGTTAGGATTAAATATATTCTTTAGAGCATGTGGTGAGATCTTAATTTCGACTCCCGACGTAGATGCAGTGGGATCCACTACAGATAACTATTTGGTATTAAGAGATAATACTTCTAGTGGAAATGTGAAGTAACTTATCTGTATATCTATTTCTTGTATCAAAAAATGAGTGGTCGACTGTATAAAAATAAGTCTTTCATTTATTAATGGTCCATGATATGTGAAGAAAAAAATTAAATGAAAAGTTTATTGGAGCAATTTGAATCCAATAAAGGAGAGAAATCCTCCGGAGCTCCAATTCATACAGCTGGTGCCCTATATATAACAAACAGACAAATAATCTGCCCTTTCTCCTCCAAATGTGCAACTGTTTTGCAGCTTTTCTGTTATCATGTGACAGAAGAAAAGGGCAAAAATTGCAATTTTGCAAAACATAATGGACAGATCTGAAAAACATTAAAGGTGTTTCATCGGCAGCAGCCTTTGTTTGTTGGATTGTTTTGGTTATTTTCGAAAACTCCACAGCTTGTTTAAGTGATTGCATATTCTACCTTGTCCTCTTGTCCTTTCAGTGTGGCAGAGAAAGAAATTTAATTTGCAATTTTTTTTTTCCAACAGTAGCAGCTTCATGTTAAAGCTGGACAGACTGTGAACAGGCAATCAAGAACCAAATCAGGGTTTCCTTGAAGTATTCAATAGAAAAGGGGTTAACGGGTGTGAGAGGTTAACTCGGACTTAATTCAATGAAAAATTTAACTCAAGCATAAGTTAAATTCGACCTCACTCTAAACCCTTCAACTTGACGATTGTCCGCGTTTAATTTTTTGAATTCGGGTTAAGCTAGTTGAAATGTGGGTTTGATTCGAGTTCAACAAACCGGATTCGACTATTGGGTTATACAACAAACAATTAAATTCAAGTTGAATTCAAATTATTAAATACGAAACAGTTTAGGTTGGATAAAGTAAACCAAAAAACCTAGTACCATCATAATTTAGGTCAATGGTATTTTTTGTCCATACTCATTCTGGAGTAATAAAAATTTCTGCTCAAATATTAATTTTTTTTTTGGTGGAGTTTCCGATCAGTATCATATATGCTTTATTGTTAACTTTCAATGCCTCATATTATTAGTGTTTGAATATTGTATGCGCTTTGTTCTAACTTTCTACCCATCTGATCCACAATGCTTGCTAATTATATCCCACAATGCATGAGGGCATTATAGGCTCCACATCTAACGACCTAAGAAGAGGCTACTGCTATTTAATCATTGAACTCATTGATAAATTACAATTGTTTAAGCTATGTAATCTTTTGTTATTGATTTTGGATTATTGGTTTTTCTCTCAATCCAAATTTAAGGTCTCTAGGGCCCTATTAGATAGGGCACATGGCTCCACTTTGAGGCTATTTTTTTTACTCTACACCTTTATTGTTAATGCTATTAGTCTTCTCTTGATATGCATGGTAATGTCAAACCCAAAAAAGAAATCATAGCAAAATACTAGTCATTCAAGTCGTTATTTCTAGGGAGAGATCCAAGAATTTAGTCTCAAAAAATCAATTTTTGAATTTTGAAAAATTTTGAAAGACAAAGAACATCGTTAAAATTATTTGCAGTTAAGAACACAAGACTTTCCAAACTCAGCCACCTAAGCCCAAAAAAAAAAAACTCACCCTTTGCCCTCCACAAACCAACACTCACCCTCCACTCCATTTTGTCATCAGGTAAAGTTGCCTAGCTAAGTTAGTTGAAGTGAGACATCCTAGCCACTCAGCTACAAATTTTAACAGTTGAGTTTGTTATTGAAAAGGTAGGACCCAGAAGTGCAGATGGACCCAAAGATGTCTTGGGACTATTAAGACATGATTAATAGAGGTTGCCCTTAGGTGGGTACCTCATTGTTGGGTCAACCACAGCATATTTCCCCACCAAAACCACAGAAAGAAACCCTCAAGTAGAAATCCTTGTTCCCATGTGCATAAATTTAAGAGAAATGTTCCAAAATAACAACCCTTTTTGTGCCTCCTTTTTCTCAATCCCCCCAGACCATCTTTTTGGGAACAAAGAAGAAAATATGAACCATCAAAGTTTTCTCTCTTTCCATTTTCTCAAATTTTACAGTTCATGATCAATCCCATTCTTGGCAAATCCATGTTTGTATCGTATATTCTTAATTTCTTGTTCCATTCTTGCTTAAACTTTACAAGTTTGAGAAATAGAAAGAGTAAGAATAAGATTATAAGCATTGAACTCTCTTTAAACTCTACAATATTAGGAGTCTCGCGCACCACCCTTTTTATACATTTCAAGTATCAACTCGATTATATGCATATTGATATATTCAATCTACAACTCACAATAAATGTAATTGACAATGTGATCTTGGTGGGACATCTTGCCATCTCCAAACATCTTATAACATGGATGACATGCTATAGGGATAATCAAATCATAGAAAACTGAACAAAAAAAAATTCAAATTATAAGGTGTCAGGAAACTATGATTCTAGCAGTAAGTTGATCATAACCCCATAAAATATGTACAAATATACACCTCATGCCTGTCTGTTATTGTGCATTCATGCCTCAAATTTGATCTAAAATGACCAAAACACCCTTAGACCTTGATTATAGGATTTTCATGTACTCAAATCATGGAACTTTTCCATATACTAAGGAAACTTATAGAGAATTGTTACTCTTTTCTCTATAAGAAAAGACATTATTAATACCGTCACAGGTTAACTCAGCTGGCTATCTCTCTTGCCCCTCACTAAAAGGTAATCACTATGACTAGACTTTTGTGGTGAAAACATGGCGAAGTCCGAATAATTGAATTTCATCTCCAGATGTCGCTTGGCGTCTCATATCTCATTTTCTTGAAGAGTATACTAGATTTATCATTATAAACTAGAAACAAAAATATGTAGCCTTTTTCTTTAAGTGGAGAAAGGAGGTGGTTAGAAGAATTATCGTTTTTCTCTTCTTTATTTCTATTTTTTAATATCAAACATTCGTTATCCTCTCGCCTCACAACAATTATAGAATGCCTCAATTTTTTAAGAGAGGGAATAATTTTTTATTTTTTTTAACACAAGATTAAACACAATGGGGAAGGTAAATTCATTGGGAAGAATTTTAAGACACCAAAAGCGCAGAAAACTTAAACCCAAGAGAACATCATATTCTTGTCAAAGAGACTAAAGCCAAAATAGATTCAAGGGACATAAAGATACTACTTAGAAAGGACAAGGGCAACATTGTCTTAGATCGATTAAAAAGATTAAAAATACCTCGTTGACCCTTAAAATCCCGATGGCAGTCCCTACGCCGTTGGTCATGCCAAATTCCCTCTCTCTCTCTCTCACACACACACACTCCCCCCTCCCTTTAAACTTGTTGGTGGCATTAAAAAAGAAGACACTAACAAGCAACAAAAAATAACCAAAGGCAAAGAAGATAAGAAGCAGCACAACAAAGCTGCCCAAAAACTAGCTCAAGACAAGACAAAGGCTGTGTTCTAGTGAGCAAAAGCTCAACAGCCATGGAAGAAGAGATCTTCTACTGGTTTAAGCTACTTGTCATCTCTCTCATAGTGTTGGTGTTTCTGGTAAAGGCTATGATTTTTCTTTGGTGGAGACCTCGGAAGATTGAAGAACACTTCTCTAAGCAAGGTATCAGAGGACCCCCTTATCGGTTCTTCATAGGCAATGCCAAGGAACTTATGAGTCTAATGGTGAAGGCCTCTTCTCAACCCATGCCTTTGTCTCACAACATACTTCCTAGAGTCCTCTCCTTCTACCACCACTGGAAGAAAATTTATGGTATGTTGATCTTCTCTCTCTCTCTCTCTCTCTCTCTCAGTTTCGGGTAACCAACATTCTTTATTGCCTTTTGATTTGTGAATTTTTTTTATGTTATCTTATTTTGAACGATAATCAAGGTAAATGTAATAATTCTCCTCAATTTCATGTTTATAGAATTTGTTGAATTGATGTTTATTTTAATTATACTAGTTAAATTATTTTTCGTACAATATATTATATATTAAAACCATGGATCACTGTATCCAAAATCTACACTTTTAGTTAATGTTGATGCTTGTTCCATGATTCACAGTCATCATGTGCCCAATAAAATATAGAATTTCATTTTTTCTATGTCTGATATTTGCAGTGGAACTATGATATTAAACTCACTTTGTTGCAATTCATCCTTGAACCTTGTATGGACTATATTTTCAGAATGTGATAAATTCCAATTTCACGCTATTTGAGATATTTAATGTTATTTAAAAGATTCATCGTATTTAGATAATATTTTTTTGGTGATATGATTTTTTGAGTTGTCTAGTTTTGGATATATCAGGAATGGATATATATACCTTTATGTTAGTTAGTGTTTTTCTATGTAATTAGTTAAAGAAAATACAATTTTGTAGGTACATTAATTAAAATGGATAAGAGTTGGATGACAGTTAGGAAAAGATTGAGTAAGCAATATATTGATGGGATGAAGTTGTTTATCAAATTTGCAATGCCATGAACGGGACAAATGGAAAAATTCGGTGTCCGTGTAAGAATTGCATGATTCTCAAATGGCATACTGAAGAGACGGTGAAAATTCATTTGTGCTAGAAAAGGATTATGGCTTCTTACACGATGTGAGTACACCATAGAGAAAATGTCCCTTCGAATGAACACAATGAGGATAATAACATCGGTGAAACTTTCCAAGACGACACGACAAACAATGAAGCTAATGATTTTGATGAATTACTTGATTTGTTAGAAGATGTTGGCATGGCGAATTTCATGGATATTGTTTGGGGGGGAATCAGATTTTGGTGAAACTGGTGATTATGGTGATAAAGAGGATGTGAATAAGTTTGAAAAATTA